TGGATATACATATTGTTTTTATGTAATGATAGTTTTGTGACACATCATTTACAAAACTAGATTTTCATGCTAATTTCAATGCGGGAATCCGTTTTTATTTTTTTTCGTTTTAAAGATATTCAAACGAAAACTCTTCCCCATACATTTCTTATAGACGTTTCGTACTTTTATATATTTTTTTTAATATCTCCAGCTTTTATTAACGCTTGCAGTTCGTTTCAACCTTAAAATATTCAGTAATGTAAGGGCTTCCATTTGAGTTATTGATAATTAAAATCAGACGAGTTAGAGACCCGCTACGAACAAAAACACAAAATTAAATCAAAATTAAATTAAAGTTATAGTCTAAAATAATTCACCAAAGTATTGACTTTTATTTTAGCTATGGATTACATATTGGGAGTTATTTAGAATAGGAGATATCTGTATTTAAGTAAAGAAAATTTTCAAATTAATAATAAATTAGTGTTAAATTAAATTATTACAACTTAAACTTTAAAGGATTTAACGGAACTTAAACTGTTTCCATTAAAAGTAAAAAAAATCACTTAACAGACTCGTGTCTGCATTAAAGTGGTTTTTGATAGTATTCTAAAATATCCTTCCTCACTTCTCTTTTTGAAAACACTGTGGGTACACAATCGAGGTTCACTAAAGGTCCAGAATTTCCTCGTTTTCTATCTCTTCGATGAATAGGATCTTCAACACTTGGCTCTTAACGCTAATAGTGAGAGCAAAATCAATTTTAACACAGTCAGCAACCAACTGTTAAACTGAATAGACGCGTTCTTGGACAACGGGCCTCTAAGCGATCGACGCTCAGCGATCATCGCTCTGCGTCAGACGCAACAGACGCGCCTTGGACAACGCAGCTTAACAGTGAAGCGTATTATTTTCCAGGAGGGTTTCATCTCACTTTAAAATGTAAAAACCAATCGAAATTTTTTTTTTTAACAGTACAAATAAAACAACGATACAAATGCAATTATTGTACAGCAGTGAAATTTAACTTTACAGTTCAATAAACAGGCAATTTTGTAATGGTTTGTAGTATTAATATATTAGCATATCCAACTCTAACAAAAATAATGTTTAAGAAGTGGGTGATTGAAATATGTGGAGTTTGTACTACTGCTGATTACATGCTAATACAGCATGTGATCGTACAGTGCAACAGAAAATGGTGGAATACTGTGCTCATACAGCGCAGTCTACTTGGAATGCCCGTCCGTCTCTCTGTCTGTCTACCTGCTCTGTACATTATAAACTAGCGGTACAGGCTTTGGGCTTTCTCATAATTTATGAGTGAGCTTTTGATTCCTAACTATGCAAGCACCAAAATCGTAATTTGAGAATAAAGTTGTATGCTTGATGTTCTAGGCTGCTTGTGAGAGTCAATAATAATTGTCACATTGTTCAACGTTCTTCTGCATTTTTAGCTTTGGAGGTGTTAAAACAACCTTTAATGGGGTCTTAAGTCTAATTTGTCTAGTATTCTAAAATTGTGGAGACCGCTTGAATATTATTAAAGTGATTCAGCTTGATTCACTAACCCGTTCTACTGATAATCAAAGCAGCCATTTTATATATTTGTATTTCCTTTTTCTCATATTTGACTTACATACTATACTATAGGCTACAAAAATAAGTACAAAAGCGGACATCAGTAATTCCAAATTACTGCAGGTAAATATAGGTGTTGCATTTGGTCGGGTGAGTGCTAGGTCCTTCCTGGAAATATAAACCCCAAGGAGGTGCACTGTAAAAGCACGCTCTTAAACAGCACGACACCCTACTGCTAATCATACTAATCATACCTCCCGGGAGCGGGAATCTTGCCAATGTTAAATTTGTCATCTTTAGGCACACTTATCTTCAAAAGGTGGAAAGCTATGGCTTTCAAAATTGTTCAATATTTGTAGAGACTTTGGGATTTGTAGAGACTAACATCTAACAATTTGTTTAGATAAAATTAATTTTCAATTTTTAATAGGAATATTGTGTTTTAGTCTACCTGAGGAAACCATTAGTTAGTGACAACAAAATTTGAAGTTCTCATTTTGAAGGCATACTGACTAAATAATTATTTCCTTTGAATAATTACTAAGCAAAACATTTTTAATTATTTAAACGATTTCAGAAGCTAGGCCCCCATATGGCTTTCCACAATATTAATAGAATTGTTTTATCACATCAACATTCAGACTGGAGTCGGACACTATGATGCTTTTATTGTTGGATGGTGTAGTACATATTTTTACTAGTAGGCCTACTTAACAGTTATGTAAGTTATTTTAATCACTTAACAACAGCTTTTATCAATAAGACAAATAAATAAGGAAATAGTACGGCATTCTCATACCTAAAACTCGCTTCTCGCGTCTATATTTACACGAATCATTGTCTTATTCTTACATTTTTTTACAAATCTTTTTTTACAAAGTTCTTATTTGTGAAAATGTTTCACACAAAAACGAGAATTATTTTAAGATGTCTAATTTGGCGGAAAAGAATAGCATTAAGACATTGTTGCTTACGCGGCGGATCACTTAGAATCTTAGAACACTGTAGGTATTATTAATTTTTAATTGAGCTTTCGTAATTATTCTTGCATCCAGGCACATCACATCTATCTGGCATGCTGTAGTAACAAGTTCAATGTCATTACGAATGATTAAGGGTAGTAGAAACGCGATTATGTACGTCGGTACGCGACTCCTCCATTCACTGTAATGGTAAGACGACCGCGCACCAAGATACGGATGTTAAGTAAGGCACAACGTTTTTAATCACACTTGGTTTGGATGTGCTAACAAAACTTGATCAGAAATGGTTACGGTATTTGTAAACAACTTTTAATGTAACCATATCAGTGACAGCTAGAAGTGAGAACTAATCCAAACAGCTGATCGTTATTTCATAAAATGTAATAGTAAACATTGGGAGAAAATCTGACAAAAATCTAACAAAATTGGGTTTCTGTTGGTCCGTTATTTTGTTTTCAAAGAAGCGAGGCCAAGTTTTTATAGCCAAAGACACTCTCGTTTAATGATGTTAGGACACCAACGTTATAATTATGTGTACTGTGAATTTTATTGGATGTTTTCGTTTTATTTTAGGGAGTTTCTATTCAGACCTACTGGAAATTGTGTATAGTATGAGTAATTGTATTGTGTTGATATTGATTATGGAAGAGGCAGGTATGCGATGGAATTGGAAGGTGATATCGTTGACTAGGCCTATACACTTTCTCAATATTGATAATTACTCTTTCTACGGTAGGCTGCTATAATATTTGTCTTTATACGTGTAAGCTAGCTGTTCTGATTTATACACAGTTTTAACTGACTACTCCCATACGTAGGACGGGGTAACACCTCGTCTATATAAATAAAATTATAGTTTTGTCTGTACATTGCTTAGAATTATGCAGTTTTTGGTTATTTTTACGTTTCATAGCCTAAGAAAGCCGAAACGAATCTTATCTCAATTTCTGTCTGTCTGTTTGTCTGTTTGTCCATTCTGACAATCCGTCTGTGACGCCAAAATGTCATTTTACGCGGCCTACTCCTAGAAAACTAGAGTACCGATCAAGGTTCTAATCATTTTTCTGTATTTACTGGATTGGTAAATTGATAAATCTTTGTAATCTTCGGTTTGTTTTAGTGCAATATAATTTTCTTTTAACTAACAGCTGGTTAAATATAAAAATGCTCTGTAGAACTATGAGGTTATTTTATTTACTCTGATTTGTCATTTATTTTTAGGAAATAAGTAACATTAGTTTAGACCACCGAGAAAAGTAACACCATCGATGTATACAAGTCGAGGCTCTGTACACGAGTCTTAAAAAAAGGATATGCAAATTATTATACTGCTCAACTTTTTTAGGAAAGGGTAGGAAAATTCATTTTTTACACGTTTTAATTAATCTTGGTTTGTTTACAATCAATGTTTTTGAATGATTAAACTTTGTTTGGATTAGGCCCGGAAATATTGATGTCATAAAGAAGGAGATCAAGAATCCTCAGGAATACAATTTTAAATTACCCCCACAACCCAGACGGGTTTTATCCAAAGATATACAGATATTAATGACACAGATTGAGCACAACGTCATCATTGACCTAGGATACTGCAATTAGACTAACCATCTTTTTATGAAATCTAAAAAGTTTTTTGGTGTGTGTTTAGTTGTGGTTACGTTTGGAGGCGCTGAATATTTTATAGTTTAAATAAATGAATATGGGGAATTACGGTGTACATTGATTCAATGAGCGTGGTTTAATTATTAAGGATATTAGAACTGATAACGGAATGGATAATAAACATAGACAATTAATTACGTCACTAGCTTTACAGCGTGTTTTACGTTTTAAATTCCTTCAACATGTGACCAGTTCTTTTGTTCAAATGAATATTATTTTATTTTTGACTCAGCTGTTTACCAAAACAAACTATATGTTGTTGTTTTTACTTTTCTTTGTTTACACTTATGTATTTAGCAATTGATGCAGTGAAATTGATATAAAGGATATGTGTGGATGATTCTATTTAAAAAATCCTTTGAACATCCTAATATTTTACCTATGTATATTTAAATAATCTGTCATCCTCTTATCGAAGGATTGAACATATCAATGATTAGCATTACACATAGTATAAATAAGTCAACCCTTAGTATGTCTTTTAATTTGATCCAAATGCTGAATTTGTGTTACAAACTCTGAATGTTTACAGCTGTTATGTTAAACAAATTATATTACACCAAAAGCTAGTTTAGAATCTTGGCGTCGGCTGCTAGACTTTAAAAAAATTAAAACTTAATTTCTAAATAACTGGGACACTAAACTAAAATTATGGCTTCGACATTCCCTAGTTCTCAAAATTATCTTTCTTTCAACACAAAAATCATGAAAATCCGTCAAGTGGTTGATTCAGAATCGTGAAATAAAAAAACCCTGTTTCGTTTTAATATTATAGATTAAAGATGTACTTACTTCAAATGGTTTTGGTTTTCTGGGTACATTATCGTACTTTGAGCATACTTCTAGTAACTTCTTTTGCACTTGGGACAAGTTTAAGTCGTGTGAGTTAATAATTTGTTGGATCATCTCTATATACTTTTCTTGTTTTTTCTTTCCTTTTTGTTCTTTAAAAACTGTTCCTTTAGCTGAGTATCGCTGAGCCTCTGTCATACATTGATTATGACCCCCATAATCTTCAGGGCTGTAAGAAAATAATAAAAATGAAAAAAGTTGCCTGCTTACAATAATATAAATTTTCTACCACAGTCACTTGCTATACCTGGGTAGCAAAAATGTAGGGATCTAAATATGTAACGGGATGTTTGTAAATCAAGGTTTCCATCGAGCTCCTGTCAAGGTCAAGTAAGGTAGTTCAAATCTGAGACCAACACCGTGTTATTTATATTAATCACTAATATTTCAGCCGCTTCTACCCCTAAATGATGATTGGTCTCGTCATAGTAGCTAAAAACAGTCTGAGGGAATATTGAATCTTCTGCCAAATATGGATCATGTTCTGTGATTATGTTTCTGTTGGAAGGTCATAACCCCAACTGAATCCGTTCTTAGTTGACAGGTGTGTATGCAGAAAAGTGTTAAGACATAGAAAAAGTGCATTAGTGCTTTAGGGAGTTTACAGAAGTCTGTTTATCGGTTAACACCGAGACAGTGATTAAACCTGAGGATATTTTCTTTTAGACTGTCAGGATTAACTGTTGTCCTTTAAATAGTTTTATAGAGAATTTCTTATCAGTTCAGCAATATCTTGTTCAGTCCTGTGCCTTGAATGATACTGAAGCACGACAGCAGCTGGCCTACACCCATGGGCGTCCATCCATATGGGCAAGAGGGGGTTCCAGCCGTCCTATGAGATCTCACAAGGTATACTACCCTACACTACAGACTGAGAATTTCGGGAGGTTTGCATTAATTTGTTGAATCGGGAACCGTGCAGGTTTTTATTTAATTGCACTGGGAAAACCTGTTTTAGCCTGCCGTAACGGTGAAATTATGTTTGTTATCCATGGCCACGTCGAAATTTTAAACAAAGTTCCAACCGTTAGTCCTACCAGACTCGAAAATATGGATTACCTGCAGATCCCTTAGTATAAGGTGCACTTGGCAAGGAATAACGGCCAGGAAAACTAGGTATTTTTACGAAGGGAGATCTGGAAAAATTAGTGAATTTTGTTTAGGAGTTCTGCCGAAAAGAACCACATCTTTTCAGATTGTGGAGTAAAAACATAAAAGATAAACAATTCACACCATGTCAGTGGGCAGAGTAGTAAAAACTATGCAACAAATATACATTGATAAAGCAATTAGGCCTACATTCTTTTTCAAAAATCTTCCATTCTCTGCACCAAAATATATACCTATTTCTTGAAATAATTTGGTTGTCCAAAATCTTTGGCAAACTCCTTGCTGGCAAAATTATACTAGCCTATTCATTGTTAAGAGGATTACACCATGATTGATTATGGCACTGAAAATGACTTTGGATTCTGAAATAAACCTTTCTTCAATCATAGACAAATAAAATTAAATATAGACCCACAGCAGTTCTGTGGTTGGTATAAGTTCTGGCTCCCATTGCTGGGAGCACCGTGTAGTTATGTAGTATGTGCGCTTAACTACACAGGGCTCCCAGCGGCGGACACCAGAACTTATGCTAACTGCAGCACTGCTGGTGGTCTATATCTATATATATAATTTCTTTCAGGTGGAGGCTTGTGGTCAGTGGACACACTAGTTTGTTTATTTTCAAGTGTGTTACAGTTTATTAAGATGACTAAATAGTTAAAATTATCGTAACATGGGTTGTTTCTATGAAAACCTAATGTAAAATGGCAGCATTTAGCGTTTGATATCATTTTTGGTACTTCTGGCCTTTTTTAGTGTGCTCTGGTGGCGTAACGGTTCGTCGTAGAAACAAATATTATATACGAAACTTGTAGTAAATGTTGTCCTCTTTAATTTTACAAAGCATAATCTTCTCAAAAACCCATAATTACCGAGATTTAGCCTGAAAACAAAAAAATGCCCAAATTTTAAGGTTTTCCACAAAATAAACAATGTTCCGGGCATAATATCTGTCAGCAAACCTCATATTCGTGTTCAGCGACCCGAAAAACATAAAGAAAAGTGGTGATTAGGACTGTACCTAAACTTTCCTCTAACTGCCACTTATATTCCTAGAATGCCTAGCCTAAAACTGGTTATGGCTTTGGGAGTTCAATGTCTTACTTTGCGAAAGTGAAACTTCAGTTCAGTGTAAGATTCTGACTACTGAACATATTTAAAATACTTACCCAAAATCTTTTAAACAGTCAACACAGGTAAGATGGGCCCTTTTGTTACGGCACTTAGTGTTGTAATGTTTCTCTACAGCTGGCTTCTTAACTGGATCTCCACAATGTTGGCAGGTGAAGACAACCATTTTGTTAGCCTACTTCTGTGAAGGAAATAAAAACATTTAGTGCGGTACAATTATACCTAAACCTCAACATCCAAAGTGAAAGCTAACTTTTAAAGCCAAAATATTCTATAAAGTCTCCATATTGTAGAATGGTAAAAAGTTATAGGCCTACAGTACCATTTTTAGCATCAGGTTTAGATGAGAGGGTGGTCTAAAAATAGGTAGATTTTTTTGTTTCTATAGAATATCTTGAAAACTATGCGGTTGGTTAGGAAATGCTGAGGTTAGATCAGACCTCAGCGGCTAATTAGGCCTAACTAACAGCAAAAGAAGTAGGGTACTTACGTATTAAACGGAGGCCACATTTTGTCAGCGCGCTGCGGCGGTTATGTTAGGTTGGGTTATCATAATAGAAAGTATAACTCGTCTGGTATCGATTCATAACGAAGCGAGGAAAGTCCTACAAACATAATATTTACGATAACCCAACCTAACATAACCGCCGCAGCGCGCTGACAAAATGTGGCCTCCGTTTAATACGTAAGTACCAGAAGTAGAGTACCTACAAGAAAAACTTATTATTACAACATTTTATTTGTTATGCCAACCTGTACTACAAGAACCTAGAATTTTGCTAGTTGTTGTGTGCAACTTATTAATCAAATATATAGAACACTAGCAGAATACCCGTCCTTTGTACGGGGTTTGCGAAAAATAAAATCTTTATAAATCATAGTTTATTTACTTGATATGTTGTTACCAGAGGCTGAAGATGGGTTTTGATGAAAACTCAAAATATACCTCCACAATTGTTTAGTAAATTGTGTATAATTTTAATTTAGTGATGAGTAGCCAATAAACCAAGAATAACAAGTATAACATCCTTATTGCAGTTATACTCGTGCTTTTGCGTTTGCAATGGGAGAGGACACGGTTTGAGAAAATTTAGTTTTTATAATTTACGGTATGCTATAGTATAACACATCTGGGGAGTGAGCTGGTGTAGTCGTTAGAGCACGGGACTTCGGTCCATGAGGTCCCGGGTTCAAATCCCGCCAAATCACCAATGGATTTTATCTAAGTGATAATGCCACTACACCTAAGTCCAGCCTGAAGTACCTAATGTGAAAAACAATACCAGGCTCGTGCATAACGTCCTAGGTAAAAAAAGTAAAACACATCTACCATAGACATAATGCTCTACCACTCTACCATCTAAACATTAAAATACCCTGCCGCAGCAAACCTGCAGACTAAGAGAATTTCCATTTACATGGCTGGATTTCTACTAAAATATTTACTAAAAATAGGTCTTAAAACTGAACCCAGCGGAACGCCTTGCTTTAGCTGCATGTGTCTGGACTGTGCACCGCCTAGAGAGATGACCTGTTTTAAGGCCTAGTAAGGTAAGATTTTAATGACCTGAGTCCAACGCTCCTCATTCCATAGCAACATTATAACATACTAACTTAACAACAGTAACAGTAAGTAACAGAAACTTAATAACAGTAAGTATTGGAGGGTTAACAGGAAAGTACCAACTACACTGCTTTAACTTAAGGCGTCCTCCAAAGATTTGTTTTGGGGCCTATTTTTTAAAAGTATCTTAGGCTAACCAATGAACAAGATTTTAAGTTATTTTTTTACAAACAAGGCTAATGACAGTCCTTGTGGGGTTTAGGCCTACCAGTAGGCCTAACTTATAACAAATTTCATTTTAATCTGAGATGGTTGGGTAGAACGACTGTATTGTTTCATGACATGAAATTACCCTGCAGTGCTACATGTATATTGTTTCAAGAATGATGTCACAATTGTTAGGGATGGTGGGTAGGTAACTTATTAAACTTAACAGCTCATCGGCAACTGTGCTTTCTCAACCAAACATTACTGTAAAATAAAACGAGGACAAGATTATTATGAAGGCTTAGTTGTAAGTTAAAACTAATAAGTTAAAGTTTAACACTCGATACCTAACAACAAGCAACAGTAAATCAATACTCTTACGCCTGGTGCTCAGGTACTTAGCCTACTTAAGTTATTTGTGAAATTTGAAAATAAATAGCCTTTAGGGGGAAGCTAGGCCTAGGCCCCGATTCAGAATTCATCGAAACCTCTCCCAGTGAATCTTTCTCGAACTTTCTCAAATTGGCTACCGGTACTCTAACCTTAAATCTCAGCCTTCTCATAAATGTTTTGAAATAGCCTAAAGTTAACTATACCCCTGACACTACCTAGCCTATTTGTTGGTTCTAACTCAAGGCCTAAGCTATTTTTGTGGTAACAAAATGGATCTTTTCGTGCACTAGCGGCGAAATTGTGTAATAGGCCCTAAGTCAATAAGTTAAGTTAACAATAATACATTATTAACTTATTGGTCTTAGAAAGTGAAAAGTGTAACTTAATCAGGTGATTTTCCTATTGCAGAATCAGAGTTAGCTAATTAAAGTTGTCACTTCCATTTGCTTGACTTGATTGAAAACAAACAGCTGTTGGTTTAGCCCAGTTGTAAATTTCATCCATCCTACCTTGTTTTTATTTATTTATTTTTTATTTTATTTCCAACGGCAGCAGCCAATTTACAAAGACAATCATGATGGTTGAATACAACAAAATAGGTATGCAAAATTTGATGATAAATATAAGTTAACAAAGATATAACAGGTTATAAATATCCAAAGCGTAACAACAACAAAAAATAAGATTAACAAACAACAATAATTACTCAAACATAGCAACAACATAAAAAAATATTAACAAACAACAATAAATTAATTACTAGTCTTTCCCAGAAAGAAGAAGAGAGGAGGCCTGCCGACGAACCTGGTGAAGTCCATCGAAAAACAGGTCACACCCAGACGCAACTCGATTTCCCAGGCGAGTAAACCTTGTGAAAGGACTGTTGAAGTCGAAGTTGGTTGAGTGGTATCTTCGACCCAGCAGATCTCGAGATCTTGTGTTTGTAGGCACTCTGAGGTCGATTTCAGCTAGGAGATCTGGACAGTTCATGTGACCATTGACTATCTTCCAGAGAAGAATAACATCAGCCACATCACGTCGCAGGGCAAGAGGTGACAAGTTCAGATTGCTGGACAGTTCCTCCACAGGCACATCAAGATAGGCAAAACCCAGCCGGACACCAACCAAGCGAAGAAAACGCCTTTGTAGAGCCTCCAGTCTCGTCCTATTGCCAAAAGTGTAAGGCGACCACACAGGACTTGCATATTCCACGAGCTGTCTCACTAGGGAACAATACAGAGAGCGAAGAGCAGAAGGGTTGTCGATGCCTCTGGAGAATCTTGCTATGAAACCAAGCATCTTGTTTGCTTTTGTTACTGATGTGATCTATATGTCCAGAAAATCCCATGTCGCTGGCAAATATAACGCCTAGGTCTTTTATACACTTGGACCGTGGAATGGATGTACCAGAAATGGAGTATACATACATGACTGGGGATTTGATGCGGTGATAGGTTATACAAGAGCACTTACTGGGATTTACAGACATGTTATTCCTGACACACCAATCCTCAATTTCAGAAAGGCTATTTTGAATTTCTTGAGAGTCTTCTGGTGTAGACACAGTAGTGAAAATCTTCAGGTCGTCAGCAAATTGTAAGGCCTTTACAGTTAAATTGTCCAGTAGATCATTGACAAAAACATTGAAGAGGCAAGATCCCAGCAAAGAACCTTGTGGAACTCCTGAAGAAGGTGAGAACTGAGTGGAAGTGGTAGAACCAATCCTCACGACAAGAGAACGTTTTTGAAGATAACTAGAAATCCATGACAAAAGAGGTTCAGCCACTCCATAGCCCAGCAACTTAGACACAAGAATTGTGTGGTCGACCTTGTCGAAGTCTTTTGCCATATCAATGTAGGCTGCATCAACTTGGTAGTTCTTGCGAAAGGCAGACAAGACATATTCTTGAAAGAGCAGGAGGTTGGAGACAGTAGACTTGCCTTTCATAAAACCATGTTGGGAAGGATCCGGATTATTTTGGATAGAAAAGGATTCAGTCTATCTACCACGATACTTTCAAAAACTTTGCCAATTGCCAGCAGAATAGTGATTGGACGGTGGTTCCGTATGTCGCTGGGATCATTTGCTTTATGTAAAGGAATGATGAAGCCCAACTTTAAAGAGCTAGGGAAGATTCCTTTGTTAAGTGATTCGTTGAACAACACTGTGAGGGGTTCAGCTAAGAGAGATCGGCAGTGATGAAGCATAGATGGCGGTATATTGTCAATTCCAGCTCCCTTTGTAGTGTCCAGATTCTTAAGCTTGCTGAGAACTTCTTCAGTTGAGGTTGTTATGACACAAAGAGAATCGAAGACGGGATAGCTAAAGCTAGGTGAAACTCGTGACGATGGAGAGTAGACCAAGTTGAAATAACTGGAAAACAGCTGACATATGCTTGTTGTGTCACTGACTACTTCGTCATCCAAATGCAGACTAGATGGCATGTCAGGAGTATTTCTTTGAGCCTTAACTAGTCCCCAGAAAGCTCGTGGATTAGAATATATGTTTGATTGAACGTTGGATAAATATCGAGTGTGGCATTCACGAGACAGCGACCTACAAGTATCTCTCAGCCTTGAGAATTCATAATAATGGACAGGATTGAAACTTCTCTTGAAACGTGTATGCGCAGCTTTCTTTTCAATAATGCATTTTTTTAGGTCATCATTAAACTTGTTAATTGTAATGTTGTATATTATTATGGCGATATCTTGAAAAATATTTATCAGCTGTGAAAAATAATGGTATATTTGGATTCAGGAGGTAAAAAACTATAAAGTAAGATATCAAAATGAAAAATTTGTTTGGAGGCACCTATACGGAATAATTACCGGATTACATTTGGTCCTTCCGAAATGAAATGAAATTAAATGATTTATTGTCGTTAAAACTATGTACAAAGTTCATGACAATCGTCAAAAGAAAAACAAAACAATCAAGATGGCTCTGGCAACTAAAATATCTAAAACTGTAAACCAAAATACTCTTCATGTTTGGCAAGCCTGGGTTAGAGTAGTTTTTAAAACATGTTTGAATTTTAAAACACACAGGTTTTTGATGGATGCAGGCAAAAAATTGTACATTTTAACACCTTGGTACTCAAAACTATTTTGAGTGGCTGTATACTTATGCCTTAGTGTAGACAGATTGTCTTTAGATCTAGTACAATAGTTGTGAACATCAGATATCTTTTCAAAGTGAGAAATGTTTTCTTTTACAAACAACAAACTTGCCAAAACATACAAGGATGGAAATGTGAGAATGTTAAGACCCACGAAAAGGGGCTTACAATGTGTTCTTCTATTCACACTACAAATTAACCTCGCCGCCTTCTTTTGTAAAGTAAAAAGCAACCTGTTAGCATAAGAACTGTTGGCCCACAGTGAGGTACCATAGGACAAATAGCTATAAATGTGGCCATAATATATACAAATAAGGACATCAACTGAAACAGTGGACCTAAGTGCTCTTATCATAAATATGCCTTTTACAATTTTAGATGCTACAAAATCTACATGTGAAAACCACTTCAAGTTTGACTGCAAGTGAAAACCCAAAAACTTCAGAGTGTTTACATCATTACCATTACTGCTAAGACTAATAGTCAGGTCTTGAGTCTTATCAGCATTAAGACATAACTTGTTTGCATTACACCAGTCATTAATAACAGCAGATTTTGTATCCAATGTATCTGTAACGTCATTCAAAGAGTTACCCCTTACACACAAGGCCAAGTCATCAGCAAAAAGAAAGCTTTTTACAGATAAGTCATTAATATTACAAGGTAAGTCATTTATATACAGTACTAGCTGTAACCCGCGGGCTTTGCCCCGTTTAACTTCTTAATTTTCAAGATGATCTCGTTCGCATGGCTCAATCACGTCCTGGTTGAAGTTCGTTCGCTACGCTCACTCACCTTTGGGTTGGAGCTCGTTCGCTACGCTCACTCACCTTTAGGTTGGAGCTCGTTCGCTGCGCTCACTTGCTTTCGGGTTAGCTCGTTCGCTACGCTCACTTGCCTTCAGGTTAGCTCGTTCGCTACGCTAACTCGCCTCCAGGTTGAAGTTCGTTCGCTACGCTCACTCACCTTTTGGTTGCAAATTAGCTGTTGTCATGAATGTAAAAGAAATAATAGTGCTGCACCCTGTTGGTAATCCTTTTAACTTTAATGCTATTGAACATCATAGAACAGAACCAACTTGTTTAATTGAAACAGCTGTTAAGATTCATTAATTCCATTTCTCATAAGGTTAACATGGGAAACTCCAGAGCCACTGGGGCGGAGCCGATTGGACGGATCACGAAATTGATGGTGTATAAACCTATTCCATGACATTCTACACGTATGTAACAAGTTTCGTGGCAATCGGTTCAGCGGTGTCTGAGTTTATCACTGCCAAACAAACAAATATATATATATATATACAAACATCCTCTTTTATACTTATAGATAAACAGGGTAGGGCCCAATATAGAGCCTTGGGGCACTCCGTGGGGCACTCGAACAGGGCTAGAATAAGTGCCGTTTAGATAGACTTTTTGCCATCTGTCACTGAGATAAGATTGAAAAAACTTAACCAAAACTGCATCAAGGTTATAGCAAGAAAGCTTATCCACAAGGAGATCATGAGCCACTGTGTCAAAGGCCTTAGACATGTCGTACGATCTAAACACTATACCACTTTTGGCCTCTAAACTTTGAAAGCAATTTGATATCAGTGCCTGGGTTGCTTGGACAGTGCTGTGTTTGGGCCTAAAGCCAAACTGACTACTTGTTAAAAGGTTACTATCCTCAAGATACTGAGAAAATCTACGATGTATGAGATGTTCCAAGACCTTCGACACTGGATGGTGAACTATTTTTATTTGCTGACGACACATTAGTTTTGTTAAAGGGTCGTTCTTGGCAGGATGTCAGGTCTAAAGCTCTCCGTGACCTCTCACTTCTAAAAAAATGGCTAGATCAAAATGTGCTCTCACTTAATGTGAACAAGACTAAATTTCTTCCGATATCACTCAGTACAAGCACTGATTATAGTCTAGACAATTTGAAGATTCATTGTTGCGGCGACCATAACAGTATATCTTGTAATTGTGAATACATTGAAAAAGTAGATTATTACAAATATTTAGGTGTTTATTTTGACTACCGAATGAGGTGGTCAGAGCATGTAGATTTCTTAAAGAAAAGGATTCGTAAATACATATATGCTTTTAATCAACTGAGTGTCATTTTGGACAAGGAGGACGTAAAGAGAGCTTATTTCGCTTATGTACAATCCTTGATTTCATTTGGTATTATCTGCTGGGGAGCATGCTATCACACCACCAAATATGGATTGTGGATATTTATAGGCAAGCACTGTGGATGGGATACTCCCTGGTGTGGATTAACGTCCGCACTAGTGAGTACTACTACTATCCGCAGTACTATCCTGATAATTAGACCAATTCGTATATACCAAGGAAAAATGTGGTTCGGATTCCACTTTAAACTGTAGGTCCCTTAGTTGCCATTAGCTGTTTGGGCTATTAATTAACAGCTGTGTCTAAGGAATGTCGGCCTTAGTCACTAACAAGACTACAAGATCGCGCCACTCATCCTACACTCATCTCCATTCATACTTGGCTTAAAATACCTACATAGTATGGTCGCCATTTCATAAGAAAGTAAAAAGTATAAAGTAAAGTAAAGCACCTTGGAACCCTTGAATGTGGTCCAAAGATCAATTTTGAAAGTAGCTTTTAGAAAAAATAAAAGGTACTCCACTGATGCGCTATTCCGTGAGACGGGAGTATTACCAGTCAGACATATTTTCATTCAGTTTCTTCTTAGTCACACATTCAAAAACTCAAACACGATCCTAACAGCAGTCACACATCAACACTACACAAGATATTCACACAATGTTGGAATATCTGTCCCTCAGCTACATAAGTCAGTTCTAACTACCAACTGTTTTTATGTTGCTCAGATTCTATATCGAAATCTAATTCAAAAATATAATATTTAACACATTTTTAGTTTACCCTCAATACAGAAATTCAAAAAACAGATGCTTGTTTTACTGCACACGATTACCAATGAAGAGGCCGAAACTTTGATCAGACCTAACCTTACTTGACCCTGATTAAACAATCCTTGACCCTTCGACCCCCTCGCCCTCACAAAATGTCTCATGTCTTGGATTGCACTGGCTTTGGTTGTCGTCGCCGACATTCTCTTATCCGCTAAACGATCAAGTTAAATTAACAAGGCTTAAAAACCTTCCCAATTTTAGTGTGTGCCCTCAATTTGCTTAGACTGATAACAGCCAGGCCTACGCACAGGCACCTGCCCATGTAGGCCTATCCCATAAGTAAGGCAAATTTTATTTTATTTTAGAAATATTGTACTGTTAGTTGTATAGCTACTCTCTGTTTTAGTTTATATTCTTGGGATAAATAAACGTTTTTCATTTCATTTCCATTTCATTTCATTTCACTGCAGGGATAATAGATATAGGCCTATAGTTAGCAATAACATTTTTAGGCCCCTTTTTATGGACTGGTATAACCTTAGAAATCTTGAACTTGTTTGGGTAGCAACCTTGTGTTATACAGAGATTAAATAGGTATGTCAAAACTTCACTTATGTAACTAGAAGCTAACTTCAAGATGCGGACATTAATCCCGAAGATCAGGAACATATTTTCCCCTCATTTCGTGGCCCGTATAAAGTTAATCTATCCGCAGTACTATCTTAAATAATTAGACCAATTCGTTAATTACGAGGAAAAAATGTGGTTCGGATTCCACAATAAACTGTAGGTCCCTTAGTTGCCATTAGCTGTATGGGCTATTAATTAACAGCTGTGTCTAAGGAACATGTCGGCCTTAGTCACTAACAAGACTACAAGATCGCGCCACTCATCCTACACTCATATTTGGGTTAAAATACCACATAGTGGCGTCCCCATCTTAAATAATTGATAATTGATAATAATTACCTCAATGTTACTAAGTTAGTGGTAGGCACCTACACAAAATATTTTTGTCTTTAAACACTTGTCTAACCTAAAAATCATACGGGGGAAAACACATTGTAATTATTGTAAGACAATCCTAACCTAAAAAGCTATATACATTTCGATTCAATTTCAAACTAGACTTTCAACTTTCATGATGTACATAAAACAGTATTATAAATAAATAGCCAGCCAGATTAAAAATGGGTTATTTATATTATTACTTGCCTTAATTCATAGGCCAAAAATATAATAATAGTAAATTAAGTCTTCGTCTTCACACTTCAACTTCAACAGTTCAACGACAACGAGTTAAGTTTTGTTTTGTTTGAGTTGTTGAGTTTAGGTTTTTTTTAGACATAAATTCTTTTTTTTCAAATTTGGTTTAAACGTGCTACGTAGTACTTATTCGACGATGAGTTTTTACTTTCTCCCCCTATACCTTATAGTCCAAGCAAACTAAACAAACTTACATAGGGATCGTTAAAAAAATTGCAAGAAAACGTTTTATGGGTTTTTTTTGTAGAGTTGGGTTTGCAGAATGACATACTAAAAGTTGCTAAAAATCGGTGCACGAGAAAACCACTAAAATCACAATTTAAAATGGCGGCTTTTTCCAACATTGGACAAATAAAAAAAACATATTTCACATGCATTTGTTATGCACATTTTTTGAGATATTGACCTGGAACCACCGCCTGTATTTATTGGGTGGTTAGTACTTCATTTTGATAGAGAACATGTTTTTGGCCGCCATCTTGGTTCCGCCATATTGGACATAGATAATTTTTTTTTTCAATGTAATGATAGTGTTGTGACACATCATTATCAACTACACTTTTACACTGATTCCAATGCCGAAATCCGTTTTTAAATATCTTTACTCATTTAGAAGATATATTCAAACGAAAACTCTCCACCATACATTTCTTATGGACGTTTCGTAGTTTGATAATTGTTTTAAAATTATTTTTCTTATATCTCCAGTTCTTATTGACGCTTGTAGTTCGTTCTAGGCTTAAAATATTCAGTAATGTAAGGGCTTTCATTTGAGCTCTTGATCATTAAAATCAGACGAGTTAAAGCCAGCTACGAACCTCAGAACAATATTAAATTTAACTTTTTAGAAATATATTTTTATTAAAAGGTTTATAACTCGGGTTGTTAATACGTCACCAAGATCTTTCTGGTCTCAAATTACTCAGTGAATGTTTAGCTTTGATTTTATTAATCACTAAACAAAATCTGACAATTTTAAAATGAGTCATGGTTCTTAATTCAACATTAAAATGTATTTATTTTGAAATTTGTCTTTAGTTAAGGACATATATCCCCAACCCTAATAACTCCCGGAAAGTAATCCATAGCTTAAATAAAAGTAAATAATTTGGCGAATTATTTAAGACTATAAAGAGTTTTGGGAGTTATTTAGAATTGGGGATATACATCTTTAACTAAAGACAAATTTCAATATAAATACATTTTAATGTTAAATTATGGTCCATTACTCATTTTAAAATTGTCAGATTTTGTTTAGTGATTAATAAAATCAAAGCTAAACATTCACTGAGTAATTTGAGACCAGAAAGAACTTGGTGACGTATTAACAACCCGAGTTATAAATCTTATAATAAAAATATATTTCTAAAAAGTTAAATTTAATATAGCTCTGAGGTTTGTAGCTGGTCTTTAACTAGTCTGATTTTAATGATCAAGAGCTCAAATGAAAGCCCTTACATTACTGAATATTTTAAGCCTAGAACGAACTACAAGCGTCAATAAGAACTGGAGATATAAGAAAAATAATTTTAAAACAATTATCAAACTACGAAACGTCCATAAGAAATGTATGGTGGAGAGTTTTCGTTTGAATATATCTTCTAAATGAGTAAAGATATTTAAAAACGGATTTCGGCATTGGAATCAGTGTAAAAATGTAGTTGATAATGATGTGTCACAACACTATTATTACATTGAAAAAAAAATTATCTATGTCCAATATGGCGGATCCAAGATGGCGGCCAAAAACATGTTCCCTATCAAAATGAAGTACTAACCACCCAATAAATACAGGTGGTGGTCCCAAGTCAATATCTCAAAAAATGTGCATAACAAATGCATGTGAAATATGTTTTTTTAATTTGACCAATGTTGGAAAAAGCCGCCATTTTAAATTGTGATTTTAGTGGTTTTTTCGTGCACCGATTTTTGGCAACTTTTAGTATGTCATTCTGCAAACCCAACTCTACAAAATAAAACCATAAAACGTTTTCTTGCATTTTTTTTAAGGTCATATCCTATATTTCTCCGACTATTAGTATATGGAGAAAGTATTGTTTTCGTCAAAATTTTCGTGTTTGAGTTTTGAGTGGATATATTCGTTTTGGGTCTCCCTGGACCTAAAAACTCGTTACTCGTACTCGTTAAATTTTAAGTTATTTAAATAGGGAATCTATCTTACATTTTTAGGATATATTTTTAGTAAAAATCCAGTCAGGCAAATTGATATTCATTTTTCAATCATATTAACAATCATTTTTCTTATTAGTATTATGATTTAAAGCTCACTTACTATTTTGTCACTACAATGTAACTACTAAAAACTTAAGTGTTACCTACGTTATGACTCCCGGTATAATTTTTTGTCGGTAAATATTAGGAAATTGAACCTTAAAATCCGGACTAAATTGAAATTTTGCACAGTTAAGCACAGTGAGACTAGTAGATGAAAATGGCAAAAGTTCCCAAAAATACCGGCTGTGCCTCAGCCGCATTAATTTCCTAATATTTACCGACAAAATAATTATACCGGGAGTACCTAATAAGTTTAAGTAGGCCTACCATGTAAGTAGTTACATAGTAGTGAAAATATAGTGAGTGAGCTTTAAACTTACTAATATTAATAAGGGAAAACTATTGTTAATATGTCTAAAAAAATCAATTTCCATTTGCCGGACTGGATCATTACTAAAATATATCCTAAAAATGTAAGATAGATTCCCTATTTAAATAACTTTAAATTTAACGAGTACTAGGTTTACTGCTATAGGGAGGGTACTAAAGCGTATATTTATGTTAAATATAGATAGCTTAGTATAAAATAAATAAATTTGCCAAGTTTGATAAAAATATATCCATAAATAAGCAAACTGCAACAATTTTATTTTCTTCCATAAGAATAACATGGGAATTTTTTATTTAATACTAACTTTTATTATTTATCTCAATAACCATTAGAGATAGAGCAAACCTTGTAATATAAAAAAGATGTATTTTTAGACGTTCTTTAACTTTTGTATTTACAAAAATTCTCTAATACCAATAGTTTGTGAAATATTGTCAAAAAAGTGAAAATTGGCCGCCATTTTCCAAGATGGCGTCTGAAGCACAGCAGGGATTTATGGTGAAATTTTATTTATTTAGGCTTACTAAACAACTGTGCAAAGTTTCCACTTAGTCCGAATTTGTTAGGTCGAATGGCTTTATTATTCCTAAAATTCTTGGACTATAATCGCATTTCCGTATATTTACTCTCACCGCTTACACATGATAAAGGTTGTTGACAAATTTATGGGAGAAAGTATGTGTCAGAATGCTGATACCGTTTATTTTCCTCAGTTCGCGAACCAGAGTGATCCAGTGATCGACTGACGTCGACGTCTAGTCCTATGCTCCTATGGGGAATGAATGAACGGACTTATGGTGGGGGTAGGAACTGAGCGAGATTGAAAGTACGGGTCGTCGGAATTGTACCCCCTGGAATTGTACCCTCCGGTGATCGTTGACGTCATTTTGACGTCACGCCTAGGGGGGGGTACAATTCCACCCCGTACACTTTGATTTGAACGAAATCTAATCTATTTAATGTGGGCAAGTGATCAGTGAACCGGATAATTATATTAGATATTAAAAAGAGCAGGAGATGTACGGCTCGGAATTGTACCCCCCTGGAATTGTACCCCCCATCAGAAAGCCAAATGTGTACGGGGTGGAATTGTACCCCCCTCTTGGACAGCTAGCTTGGCTTGTGTCCGGGCTGGAATTGTACCCCCCACCCACTCGATAAACTTAATTGGTATTATGAAAATGAAGCAGTAGAGAATGCCTTCTATAGTGACATATGTTGGATTTTCAAACCTGTACCAAATATAGTTGATTGTACTAAGGAACTATAATTGTGAAGAGATTATCAAAAAATCTGGCTTCGCCACTTTACTTCGCCTCGGGCCATATGCATATTTTATTAATCTATATCTATATTCTATTCTATATACTTATTTAATACGCAAGCAAGTTTTTTGTGACAATTACTCCTCCGAAACTACTGAACCGATTGACATGTTTTTGGTGTCATTGGAAAGACTAAAGAGCGTAACGTGAAGTAGTGCAGGAAACTTTTTTTTAGATAAATAGTTAGAGACTGGCGCCTCATAACTTGAACAACTGTCATTTTGCGCAGTATCAACCTTTTGAAGTGTGGTTTGCGGCATTGTATTCTACTAAAAAAGACCTTTAATTTGATGTGCATATTGACCTATGCTTCCTTTCAAGATTTTCTTCCGACTCCTTGTGGGCCGTCCCTCTGAAGAATTATTGGATCACTGAATATGTGTTAAAATAGAGTGTTATGCCCTGTAACTTTGTACCAAGTATTTTAGCTCTATCTGCATTATTTTTTTAAATATATAACCGTTCCGGGACTTTTCTACCACACTGTATAAAGAACAGCAGTTGGTTTGCATGTTTTCAGATGTGCTGACAAAACTATTATATTTAAACCTAAAATGACATATAAAGAAAAAGCAAAACTTATACTGTAAATCGCAGTTAAATTGAATACTACTGTAATAAATAAGGTGTAACACTAACGATAACTAATTTGTAAATAGTGATGTGTTGGTACGTAAAAATTATTCTTGTTGATACCACCGGTTCTAAGGAAAAAACCAGTACCGGTACAAAAAACCAACGTTTAGGCCTACAGTTAAGAACTATAGTACATCCGACCAATTAAATGCGTTAATCCAGTTCCGAGGCTATTGATCTCTCTTGGGTTTGGATTTTCTGACAATAATTTATCGAAAATCAAAGTTATTTCCCATTAATTGAATTATTTGTAAACAACTTTTACTTAAACATTTTGGTGACAGTTTGAACAAAACAACCTCGTCCAAACAGCTTTTTGTTATTTAAAAGATTGCGTATTCTCTAAACTATGTTTCGTATACGTAGTTAACATAAGAAGGAATTGTGAAAAAATCACACTAGGCCTATGTTGTGTTTTGTAACGTTTTTAATTTGATTTCCTATGTAGGTAGGCCATGTATTGTAGGGAAAAGTACCGGTATCAAGGATCGTCGTCGAATAGGTTGTCATGAATAATTGGG